TCAATGCTTCCTCTTGACCATCGATCACATATATTGTTTGACGAGTTGTTTTATTCTTATACTGAATTACACCTTCAAATTTACCTAAAACTGTTAAATACTTCCCCCCAGGTGTTTTTAAAACAATGTTTGATTTAGTCAATAATTTGTTTCTAGCCATTCTTGGAGGCACAATCGTCACGTCGGCTCCACTGTCAATCTTGAAACGTTCCAATTTCCCATCAAGTTTTACATCAATTTCAAATTCATTCTGTTTATTGTAGTTCCTTGTTGTCGCTCTTATTTTCTTAACTTCAGCTCTGTTAATGTAATACCCGTCCTCGCTTCTATTATCCTGTTCCAATCTGTTCTCGGTATTTTCCTGAATTTGATTCAGGGTTGGGTTTCTGTATTTATTGTTCTGATTTCTGTATTTATTATTCTGTCTCTTTTTACAACATCGGCTGAAGTGTCCTTGCAATCCACAGTAGTAGCATTCAATATTCTGAGCAGGACATTCCTCCTTAGGATGCCTCTGTCCTCCACAGTAAAAACAATTAGAAGTATTTTGTCTTATGTTTTGTTTCAAGTTCGGATGTTTTTTCACTTGGTCTATTTCTGCAAAATCTTGTTCTCTTGATCTGTTAACAGTAATTTGTTGGTTATTTATAATTTCACTTTGTTTCAATCTATTTATTGTTTCATGCAAGGTTAGGTCAGCCATCAGTTGAAGTTCCTTAGATAACTTTGAATCTGTTATTCCAACAATGAGTTTATCCCTAATAAGGCTGTCTTTCATGTCTTTGTAATCACATGAAGAAGCTAATTTATGTACATCTGTTATAAAATCGGATATCGGTTCATTTTGCTTTTGTACTCGTTGATTGAATTTCGCTCTCTCATAGGTCAAATTCACCCTTGGTGTAAAATACTTATTAAGTTTTTCCACCACTTTATCATATGTCTTTTCATCTTCTTCTGTTACTCCTGCTGCTATTAATACATTTTCTGCATTATCACCCATGGATATTATAAGGAAATTTACTTGCTTTTCTCCATCTATTTGATCTAAATTGGTAGCATTTCTGTACCTATTGAACTTTTTTAACCATGGGCCCCAATCCTCTGGTTTAAAGGAGTATTTATCAATGAAGCCCAATGTTGCTGAATGTTGTGTCATTTTAGATGTTTGTCTTCTTACTGTTATATCTGAGTTTTCTGAGTCTGACATTGTAATGCAGCATATATATTAGACACCCTGTTACTCAATTTATTGGGTCTTTACCGCTGCCACCATGTTGTGCCCTTAAATATATTAAATTAAAACCCATTTTGTTAGAGCCACTTCTTTCATTGTATTTAATAACAAAAACCAAAACTTAAAAGTAAACATGAAACAATAATATATCAAACCAGATGACAAGCAAATAAACAAACTATTAATGTAGACCTCAGGACAGTTATCTTCTAACAGCCCTCATGTTTGGGAGAATTATACAAAGAGAATTAAATTTGTATCGGTACAAAATATTGTTCAAAGAGGACGTACAGAGGTGCAAGTTTTCAAGAGAATCTTTGCCATTGAGCATGGAGTGTCTGTGGTGAAATGGTCTGTAAATCTAATTAAAATACCCCCGCCGCAGCAAACCTGCAGACTAAACAAACTTTGTTTACCAGGCTGAAATTCCACTAAATTATTCCCTTATAATTGTCAGATTTATTTGCTATTTAAATATTATAAATTTTAATGAATACTTAGGTTTGCTGCTACATGGAAGGTAATAAGGTGTAGCCTACATGTTTGTTATTGAAATGTTGATAGCTTAGTATGAAGTAAACAAATTTTCCAAATTTCATTAAAATATGTCCATTGACAAGCAAGCTACAACAGTTTATTTATTCTTCACTAAAATAACATGGTAATTTTAAATTTACACTTTTTTGGAATTGTTTCCATATATATATATATATATATATATATATGAATTTGAACGGATGGTGTTTTTGGCCTCTGGGGGCCTCAAAGAAAAAGTAAATCGGTCCCGGGTCCAGGTCTTACCATGAGACCTATAGTAATACTGTAGCATTTCCTATATCGGCAATTCGCTAAAAGCTACTGAACTTTCTCAGGATCGATATAGGTTGAGGTCTATCTTGTATAGCATGTGAAAAATTGAAATGAAATGAAATGAAATGTGTTTATTGTCTTATGAATTTATACAAATTATTGACAATGTCCGAAAAACTGCTAAAACTAGCATAGTCAGTTAATGAATACAATATTTACAAGAATACTACACACAAGGAGACATGTTACAATACATACTTTAATATTACAACCAAATAATCTTATTGTTCAGAAAAATGCAAGGCCTTTAGAATAATGAAAGTTATTAAACCCCATAACCAACCAAATCCAACAGTAATTTGATAAATTTGCTAGCTCTACTTAAAAATTAATAAAAGGCATTTCAAAAAAATCTTTTAGAGAATAAAAAGGGTTGTTCAAAAGCCATTTGTAGAATTTAGATTTAAAAGTTTTATTATGATATTTTGTTATTAAATGTATTAGCTTGTTGTATATTTTTAGTGAGATTACAATATGACTTTTAAGAGTTTTAGACAGTCTAAAAAAATCGATGGTAGCAACGTTTTTATTCCTTGTATTATGAACATGAGAATTTTGTTTGATAAGGTTGGGATTTTGTAGAATATATGATACAGAGTCAAATATATAAATGTTAATTACTGTTGGAATTTGTAGCTGAATGAACAGGGGTTTACAGTGTTCCTGTTGGGGTTCACAAGATATTATTCTAACTAACTTCTTTTGTAAGACTAAAATTTCCTCTATCCTACTGCAATTTCCGTAAAAGATAATATTGTATCTGAAAATGGATTGGAAATAAGCAAAGTAGGCTGTTTTAATATAATTTTGATCTATACAATGTATTAGTTTAGTTATAAGACAAATTACCCTTGAAAGCTTAGAACTTATGTAATCTATATGATCTCCCCAAGAAAGGGTCTTATCCAGATAAATACCAAGAAATTTAACATTGTCTACATAACCATCCAACATATTTGATTCACAGGGTCTAAGGCTAAAAACAATTTTTTGAGTTTTATCTTTGTTTAAGAGGAAGCCATTTGATTCAAACCAAACAGAAGCTTCATTGATTGAGTTTTGAGCTAACTCTTGAAGTTGTTTAAGATCGGGATTAATATTTAAAAATGTTGTATCATCTGCATACAAATAAGTTTTACTGGTTATACATTCTGGGAGGTCGTTAATACAAATTAAAAATAATAGAGGACCTAGAACAGATCCCTGAGGCACGCCATATTTCATTTTTAATTCTTGGGACCATTCTCCATCAATATTGACTTTTTGTATTCTATTGTTTAAGTATGATTTGAAAAAAGAAAGTGGAGATCCGTTGATACCATAAAAACTTAATTTCATTATTAGGTCATCATGGTCGACACAATCGAAAGCCCTACTCAGGTCGCAGAAAGTGGCCTGAGCAAGTGACTTCCTCTCAAAGACCATTAGTACCTCATTAATCAATTTATCTATTGCGTCTGATGTACACTTGCCCTTTCTAAATCCAAATTGTGATACACTTAAAAAGTTGTTTCTTTCAAAAAAAAGAATTCAGCTGGTCAAAAACCATGATTTCAAACAATTTTGATACTACAGGAATGATTGATATTGGGCGATAACTTTCTGGAATATCTTTTTTACCTTTTTTAAAAATGGGACAGACTCTGGTGACCTTTAATTCATCTGGAAAGACACCCTCAAGGAGACAGAGATTAAAGCAGTGGGATAGAGGTTCAGCTAGATTACCAATAATCTGTTTAAGCAAACTATTAGACATGAGATAAACATCATTACTGCTAGAGTTTTTTAGTTTTTTTTGTGGCTTTTATTAGATCATTAGGTGTGATAAAATTCCAGAAAAAAGGTACAGGAGTAATGGAAGAATTATTAACTAAATCTTTTGAACTGTAAGCATTACTAACAATTTTCATTTTTATGTTTTCAATTGATTCAATGAAAAAGGTATTGAAAACATCAGGAGATATTTTGGGTTTTTTTGTATTGATTAAAGAATTGCTACTGTTTTTAATGATTTGCCAGGCAGTTTTACATTTGTTATTACTTTTTTCTATGAGATTTGTGTTATATTCTATTTTGGCCTTCTTAATTGAATGCTTATATTGATTTTTTAACCCATTATATGCTTGTTTTGTTTCATTTGAAACACTTTGACTATTTTTTACTATTTTATCTAGAAAAATTAATCTTTCTTTCATAACTCTTAACTCACTATTATACCAAGCATTACAATTATTTTTTTTCGAATTTTCAGTTTGAATTTTTATTACTTTAGAAAAATAAGAAATGTTATCTTTTAAAACTTTGAAAAAAACTCTGAACGTATCTTCTGCTGTTGAATTTATACAATTAAGCACTTGTATCCAATCATAAGTACCAAGCTTTTCTACTAATAAACCAACCGAATCTTTTTTCAAAATTACTTTAGAAAACGAGTTTAAAGCAGCATATTGATTAACACAATCCTTATCCAAATTCAAAGTCAAATTAATTAGAAGACCATTATGGTCAGAGAAGGGGAAATCAAATACTTTACAGCTTATATTTGCGTTTTTACTACAATTTGTTAATACATTGTCCAGGCAATTGTTGCCTCGAGTGGGGGAGTGATTTAAGAAGTGAAAATTGTGCTGGCGTAGTATATTAAGAAATTGTTTAGAGAGGTAGTTGTTCTGAGTCAAGTCAAAACTTTTATTAAAGTCTCCTCCGATGATTGAAACATAATTAGTCCAACGAGAGAGATGAGTTAATAATTTATCAAAATTTTCAAGAAAAACCACAGGGTTGCCCGAAGGTGAGTGGTAGACAGAGACGAAAATTAATTTAAACAGAGAAACAATGAATAAACAGAGATTCAACTTTGATAACAAAGTCAACCTAGTTAACTTAGGCCCACCTCTTTCTGCAGCCTTTGTTGGATATCCAAGTGTAAAGCCAGCTGGTACAATGTTAGACTAATGGAAGAGGAAGTAGATTCCGACCCAGCTATCAGGAAAATAACACTGTTGGCACAGACGGTATCATCTGTGAACACTGAACAGGAGTTTGTTAAAAGCTGTACTTATCTTGATCATTAAGAGCTCCATAGTAAAAAAGATTATAAATTTTTGAATTTCGGTTTAGTAAGAAAATGTAACCATTTTATTGAAGGAAAAGTATCTAAGACAATCCACGCCACGCCAGGCAGACAAATGTATTAGTTTTATTTTAGAAGTTAGTGTGTACCATTGTGAGGAATGTTTGAATGTCCCTGATATAATGAAATGAGGTTCAAAATTAGTTGAACAATTAAAATGGTAGTTCAGTGTTTACACTTACAACATCAGCGTCTGCATTTTCCTATCACCAAGGTCTTAATTAGCTTGCCTCTGTGACTTTTACCATATATTGATACTTCAGGGTTTATAAGCCACCACACAGATTAGTATTAGTAAGTTTATGGTGACGGAATGTCATGGGTAAGCTGTGGGAGTAACTAACTATTATATTTTATGGGGGAAATCACAAATATTGCAATAACTTTTGAACCATAATGTTTACAGCAAAAGGTTTTATCATTTTGTTTGTAGTTAAAAGGACTATAACAGCAAATTTTGATCAAAATCGCGCAAACCGTGTTTTTAAAAATTTGGTTTTACCATTATTTTAAGGGTTTTTTGCAAGGGGGTTGAGAAAATTGTCCTTAAAACAAAATTTCTAAAGAATGAAAAAGAACGCCTAGATATACTATGGCACACCAACTTTCATCAAATCGGACTACAAGTGTGGCCTGAAGCTCTGTAAACACATCCACACACACATACACAAACATCACTTCGAAAACCACTTTTTTGGGTTCAGGGGGACCCAAAACAGATATATCCATCCAAAACTAAAAAAAAAACATTTGGACAAAAAAATAATACTTTAATCATAATGTGTAGGAGAGAATAAAGTAAAAAGAATTGAGTTGTTTTGAGCCTCTGGCTGTTTTCTGTTGTCAATTAAAGATTTCAGTTAACTAAAATCATGTCATGTCATCAAAATATGTCATGTTATTGTAAAATATATCATCTTTTACAATACAAAAATATTATCATAGCATCAACAACTGAGAAGAAAAATATATTTTTAGCTAACGACTCAGCGATCTAACAATTAATGGTTCATGGAACCAACAAATAAAAGGTTGGCTACGTAGATGAGATGTCTACTCTGGTATCTTGAATTCAATGGTAAAATCAAGCTGTATATTATACAATTAGCTGTTAAAGTACTTACACTTGACATTCGTGGCGAGTGGTTTTTCATGGTCGCCCGAGTATTTCATTTGTTCCAGTATCACTTCGTCATCTTCTGTTGTGTCATTGGTCATCAGTACGGAGTGACTCAGTTCTCCTTTGTCCTCCTGTTCCTTCAGGGTCAGCAAAAGCTGTAAATAGTCGTTTCTCTTGAGGTTGTTTTCTTTGCGGTACTTGGCCGCTTCACTTATCAAGCCCTTAAAGTAATCTACATTTCTCTTTGCCATGAAAGGGCGAATATTCAAGCTTTCTGCTAGTTTAGGGAACGTAAAGCCGACTAAAATTTTCACCAAGGACCACGCAGAAGGTTGAAAAACACTTTGCACAATCGACTTAAAGTCGTTGAACTCGGGTGAGTTTGGCTCAAACTGGATTCCAAAAGCACAACTGGCAATCACATCAGCTGTGTATTCAAAGAGGAAATCTTTGCAATTCAACTCAGGATTTTCTTTTGAAATCTGCTCGTCAATTCTTGAGATCATGTTTCCTCCACATTGAGTCACCTGATCGAACATTCCCTTCAGTTTACCAGTAGTGAACGTCGGGGTGAGTTTGTATCGCATCTCTCGCCACATTTGTCCTCTCATGCCAAACAGGTTGTTAGTTATCGGATCATTTTTGTTCTCGGGCTGCCCTCTGTCTTGGAAATGATTGAAGTCCTTCACCATAATCTGATTGATCAAATCCAAATCTCTGACCATCAGCATTGGTTTTGTAAGCTGGATAAACCCAAAGTACTTTTCTCCTTGAAACTGGTTGTACCACTCTTTTACAGTTTCGGATTGTGTCTGTTTCCCTGTGATCTGGTTCATGATCAGTCCTCCTTTTTTTAGATTTGGCACTCCTCTTTTGTCCCAGTAACCATAGTTGATATTTAAATAGAAGTAAATCACAAGTAAAATGAAGATAACAAACACCAAGAGGTCTATCCAGTAAGTCTCAGTGAGAAACCCCATGATTTTGGACGAGGGAGAGTATTGCTGATAAATAGCTGCAAATAAAAGACATTTTCAATATTCAAACCGAATTATGGTAGCTAGCTGTAAACTGCAGGAAATAACAAAATCAGAAAATAAACAATTTTACCAACAGGATACTATATAACTGTCTCCTAGTGCCATGGTACAACATGTAATTATCACATCTTGATCCTAATTAATTAAGGCCTCCCTTAAAATAGATCTGATATAATTGTCAATTTACCTCTAGGAGTTTTCCTAGTACAGAATTTTCCACGTGAAAGAAATTATAGATGCACTTTTAGACTGTACATATTTCTTTTAACAAATAGCTATTTTAAGGCTTCTCTTTCAAATTTCAAAATCAAAACTTGTCAGTGGATAGTTCCAAGTTCCAAATATTTATTGAAAAGGATTAAATGTATTTCAGTACTCAAGATGGCAGTCTCTTTGCAAAATAGTAAATAATTTACAATTCAATTTAATACTGTAATTAATAAACTTCTTTCATGTATCTAACAATCACATGCTGTAACATGCTGTTAATTTTTTTTCACCACACTATGATGTTTTTGGCTGTATTACTTACGGTGGCTGAAAGTTACGTTTTGCTGGCCATGCCAGCTGTCATCGTAATTTGGGGACCGAGCAGGTTCCGCAAAATCAGCTGTCCGCTTACTTACTTAAAACGGATGAATGCATTTTAAATACACAATCAAAATCCATAGCATTGCAAAATAGAATTCTGTTATTGTCACCCTTGCCTAGCAACTATTTATTTTTATTTTTGCTGATTCCTCAAATTATTTCTTCACATAACCTTAAAGTTGTAGATGTGTTGACTATTAGTGTGCATTATTATAGTGGTGAATAGTGGTAATAGGGTATAGTGTGGTGAAAAATAGCGTTCGTACTACGAACCGAAATGGTTTTGCAGCTCTCGATCGATTTAAGTTCTCGATTTCGTCTCGAACTTAAAAACTATCTCGAGCCGGCAAAACCTCATTTTCGGCCCTAGGTAAGAAATGTACTATTAAACATTATAAATAGTTTCCGATTTTATCAATTTCATAAATTATTGATAAGATGACAACCCCTTACATAAAGTTTACTTCTGATGACCATCATATTTCATAACTAACTTTGACATTGAAAGTGGCAATCATCCTTTTGTAAAAAAACAAAATTAAGTGCCACAACCATTTCACCTTCAAGCTTTGACTAAAGAGTCTAGTACAAAATAGGTTGTTTAAATTTTGTGACAGGTCTTTAGTTATTGATGGAAACTGCAATATCATATGTCATATCACAGTAAAGATGTCAAGTTGCAATTCTGTACTAATTTAAAGATCAAAATCCGAACCAATAATTATTTAAACAGTCTGTAATTTACTGGATCACAACGTTTAAGGGTATAGATAGGAATGACTGGTTCAGACAACTAAATATTTTGGCCAATTTGGAGGATTTACATTTTTGGGAATGTTATTTTCTGACAGATTTAAGTACTAAAAAAAACACAAAATCTCATAAATTTATTTGGATACACTATAACAAAATTTTTACCGTAGATTAAATTTTACGTAATTTATTAGATGAAAAGTGGTCTTCCACTAGAATCTATATTTTAATAGTCCTGAAATGGTTATTTCTATTAAATACAAAGCCCTTAAAGCAAAAACAAAATTTATTTTATTTTTAGCTTTTTATTCTTTTGTCCAGCTTTGTCAAGAGAATCTTTAACGGGTCATTTGATAGAAAGGAGGGGGGTTAATACAATTTTAAAATTTTAAATAATTTGCGTTCATTCACTGGTGTAATGATTTATGTGTGATAAACTATATCTATCAAAATTCTGTTTTAACATAATAACATAATACGTTAAGTTTTATCCCTGGGAAGTACAAGAGAATACTGAAAAGACGTTGAAACTATTCTTAAGATTGTAGCTTAATATTTTACTTTCCCCTTCCCCATGTTGGATGTAAGTGAAAACTACTTAAACGGTCATTCACTGGTCCCCTCACCCTACTCCGAATTAAACTGAAGTCTAAATGGATACAAATATTCACTATTGAATCCACTTCTGAATTGGATTACACATTAACACAGTAAATCTTCCAAAACATTTCTGATCTGAATTATCCTCTTATATTTAAATCTTCAACCACTTATTTTGAGTGAGTTAAAAAAGCAATAGTAATTTAACTAAATTTCAAACTACACAAACTATTTCAAAAAAGATTTATTTCCACTGTAAGCCTTTAATACTAAATCACTAGACACTTACCGTGTGTGATGAAATCAAGAAGCACACAATCACATTATAAACACTCAGGCTGGATTGATGCAGATAAGTGTTGCGAAATATCTCTGCCCAGTCTGAAGAGTGCAGACTGGCTATAGTGACTGTCAAATTTCCTCATCTCACACCACACTCCAACCAAGGACAGCCACGCCTCCTCAACATTGAGAGCTGCAGTGGGAAGTAATGTAAACAAACAGCATAGCAAATATACATAGTGTGTTGGTCATCAAAATAAATACACTTAATTTGCCAATAACAAATACTGTAAATGTATTTATACGCAAATGTTTGCTGTTAAACACGGCATTAGCACAATTCATGGCAAAAGTAAAATAGTAAAAAAATTAGGGTGGTTACAAACAAAAGCACTTTATTCATTTACTGACATAATTTACTTTTTCCTACAGTTACCTAACAATGTACATGTTCTCTCACTGATTTGAGAAAGCAAAGTGGCCAATTCGCTCATCAGTGAGACAATGTTAACATTGTCTCACTCTAATTACTTTGTCTCACTCCAGATTTGCAACGTGAAGGCACGAAATAGTGACCGCGTAACATGCAGGCAGTATGCGCGCGAAATACGTTGGCAGCACTGACTGTAAATCAGCTGGTCAGCTGTTGTATTGTTGTATTTGTCCCTTCACGTTAAATGTTATATTAAAAGTTCACTTCTGTGTAAAAATAGGTTATGTTTCTTCACCAATTTATTTGTTTTATGGTAACTGTAGGAAAAGTATAATGTGCAACTCGAGTTCAAAGTACAATTGCCACACTCGAGAAACCATTCCTCACTCGCCTACGGCTCGTGAGTAAGGATTTCTCTCGAGTGAGTCAATTGCTTACTTTCCTCACTAGTTGCACAAATAACTATTTGAAATTCCTACAAGAAATGTATAAACAATCGTTTGAAGGTAAATTACTGTATTGTGAAGTGAACAATACAAACTGCATAAAAACTTATTAAATTATTTTATTGGTCTTTATTTTAATTGTTTTTTTTAACTAGTATTGATTTTTATTTTCAAAATAATCCCCGATTTATTTCATTCTTACTTATCCACAAAAAATATGGGTATTATGGACTTAGTAAAGTAAGGAAAGAACAAAATAAATCAAAATGTTATCAAATACATTAAAATGTACAAAAACGAGTCCCTATAACTGTGTAGGTTGACTGAAAACTAAACTATACAAAATAAAGTACTAACAAATTTGCATTTACATTAATATCATATAAATGTTTTAAATATATGTTTTTAATGTTTTAAATATTTAAATGTTCATCAACAAGATGACTTTTTAAGCTACACATGCAAATAAACTATAAACCCCTAATAAATTATGATAAATAATAATTTGTTACGTTTCTCAGAGAAAAAATGTCATATCCTGATGGTGACTGGTTGAGTCACTGTGTTGTGCCATTAATGTGCACCACCAGCAACTGGTTTTGTCATTAGTGGGTCTGCAAATTGCTGAAGGCTAATAATGGCCTCAGACCAGGAAATTCACTTTGCATAACCTGGAAGAAAGCTTGAGTTTGAGTTGTTTGCAGCTCACTCTTTTTTACTGTCTTCCCCCTATACACAGTTTATGGGGGAAGTATTGGTTTTGACAAAAAATATTGATATCGCATGGAAATCCATAGAATTAGAAAATTCTGATATTCACAAAATTGCTGATTTAATGATTTAACTATTGAGTTTAGAATCAATATATGTTTTACTCCTTAACCCTGAACAAATGGTACCACCCCCGAGGCTGTATGAAATGGTTCAAATCAATTATTGCTATTTGCTATGTGATTTTCACCATAAAAACCCATTCGCCTTTGTTACCTCCTCCCAGTTACCCAGTATGATTTTTTTGCTCTTAAAGTAGTCGAATGTTCAATTATTTTAATACCAAGTTAATGGGAGAAAATAAGTGTCTGTTTGCTGATACTATTATTTTTGTTATACTAGTAGATTCAAGAATAGAAGTTTTTCCAAAACGAGATAGTAGGACGCATCATACTGCTAATTTATTATGACATTTTCTCTCATACTATATTTTTATGATAGTGGAACTATATTCCCACAGAATGAAGACATGGCCAAATTTTTGCATTATTTGCAAAAATGAGATACTGGGTTTTAATTTTGACTGAAATCATTGACAGAATACATTGAACAAACTAAAAACCTAAAAATACGCGAATTTCCATTTACTGGGCTGGATTTCTACTAAAATATTCCCTTTAAATTGTCAGATTTTATTTCCTATTTAAATAACAATTAATTATTTTAATGAGTACTTGGGTTGTTTGCTGCTACAGGGAAGCTAATGAGGTGGTTTTTATTGAAATTTTGATAGCTTAGAATGAAATAAACAAAATTGCCAAATTTGATTAAAATATATCCATAAACAAGCAATTTGTGAGAGTTACAAGTGGATTTGATTTAGGTGTCATTCTCATTCAATTAATCTTCATTCACTCCCAACCCAAACTAGCATTGGTGATGAAGATTCAAAATGTTATTGATCAAATGTTTCAAATGTAGCTTCGAGAATGATGTTTTTTACTATCTCTGCTACTTCTGAACCATTTGAACAATTAATTTTCATATAAAAATGTTAGCGAATTTCCCATTTATAGGGAATGTTTTATGTCGTCACTGTACGTGATTCAATTCCTTTGATATCACGGACGATTAATATCAAACATTAGAAATGACAAAATCAATTTTAACAAAAACTAGGTACCTCTTTATTTTATTCAACAAAACAACACACTAAACTATTTACTGTTTTTTAACAAAACAATTGAAAAACATATGATTGTTTTTATTAATCATGAAACAGTCTTTGGGCAAACTTATATAGAAATATCTAATGAGGTTTTTTTTTATAGATATTAATCATCGTATGTCATGATTAGCAAATTTCCTATGTAAGGAATATTTAGCAAATTTCCCATGGAATAAACTATTACCGTAAGTCTTCTTCCTGTTAAGATTACCTATAGCCCCGGTACCAATTTACGTTTTTGTTTTGAGGTCCCCAGAGGCCAAAACACCATCTGTTCAAATTAATTTATATTATGTATATTATTTACATTATGTGCCCATTAGCACAATAACTCTAGAAAAATAACCCGATTTTTATGAAATTTGATATCTAGTGTAGGTAAGCCTTTATTTATTCAAACAAGCTGGACTATGAAAAAGGGGTTTGATGTTTTTCTTTTTTAGGTGTTCTGATTAACTCCCGAATCAAAAAAGCTTTGCAATTTCCTTTGGAACCATTTTGCAGAGCTAAAAAACAAATAATTTAGTATATTGAATCGTTAGAAAGAAATTTCAAAATGGTAAAATTTAAAACTCTTGTTATTCTTATGGAGAATAAAGTAAATGTTTGTAGTTTGCTCATTTATACTAGCCGACCCGTGCGATTGTGTGAAGCATTCACACTGAATCCTTCTGAAATAGCTCCTGAGTCCCCGAAGGGGGATTGCGGTGCACTTGCGCCAATAGTATTTGGGGAGGAGTGATTTTTTCATATTTACAGTTAGTACCCTATATTGCCATTGATGATTTAGATTGAGATTTGGCCGCGATGTTGAGAGACTACGATGATGTATTAGTGACAACTGGGGAGTCTCAAGATATTGTTGTAATCACAAGGGGCGATTATAATTGCTCCGAGACTACGGGTTAGCATAGAGATATGGCCACGATCACTGGTGACTATGATGATGTCTTCCCAGTCTTGGAAGATACTCTTAATTTCGCCATGTAGGTAATCGTAGGAGTAGTCAAAGCTTTTGTCGCAATAGCGATCTATATAGGGCCTCAATTTCGGAATTTGTATAACAATATTATGATGCGGGCTTATAACAACCAAGGTTATAACTTACACATTCAAAATCAAAGGCATAAATTGTATACACATAAACAAGTTAAAATAAAATGGATTTTACACATGGATGAATTGAAAATAACACTGAGGTAATTTTTAGGTAGATTTTGGCTTTCGGCCTCTTGAATGGAAGGGCGTTTCTAAAGCCTGATCAGATTTTATTGTTGTTATGAAATATACTACCAATCATCTTTTTATTGGTTAAAAATGTTTAGGACATTGACTAACAAAGGAATTAAAAAAGTCTAATTTAATTGACAAACAAATGATAATCAAATAACTGGTACCTACTGTACTTGCATACCTAACACAGAACTCAGAATCAAGTCACCATCGTATCCAAAAATGACTCTTGCATCTAAAAATCTGGATTGCATACATTTGAACTATCTATGATTGGAATTTGAAGGGGTACACTTCCATCTGTTGGCGCAAACAACCGAATGAGTAATATTGACTGTTCAATTGTTTCATTCAATATATCGTTTGGTTAGTTAGGTTACGTTAACTTTACCTAACTAACCAAACGATATATCGAACAATCAATATATCGTTTGATATTTTTGTTCATTTGTTTGTGCCAACAGATATGGAAGTGTGCCCATTTGAATTAAGACTGTATCCTCAAATAAACATTCTTATTCTTAGGTGGTCTACTAATTTCTTAGTAGAAACATAGATAAAACACACTCCCTTAAGATTTACATGTTTTATCTATGGATTTACCATCCTTATGGAACAGCTGAAGCCAATTTTATTGTTAGTTCTGTCTAGTGCACTAAAGAGGTCATGTTTTTTTTTAAATCTGTTTCTTATTGTTATTTAAGCCATTTAAACGCCTGTTTAACCAAATAAAATGATAAAATCATAAACAATAACTTATTCTCTAGTTATATAACCAAACAGTAAAACACAAATAATGAAATTAACTCTAAAAAATAGAAACAAAATTTCGTCGACACTAGTTACTAGTGTCACCGGACATGAACTAGACACGAAAAACGAGCTTCAAAATTTACTTGTGTTGTTAGTCTATGGTAGAACCATTGACTGTTGGGTAATGAAGTTGTATCAATAATCAAAGATATAACCATAGATAAAACAAGATTAGACAATCCTAGTCGGTTAGTCTATCTATGGTAGGGAGATATATAATCAATGGTAAAGCATACTGAATTCATGTAATACAGTACAGTAAAGTTAATTAAAAGACTGGTCTCGTTTTCCTCGGAATGGTTAAAGATGGCATTGGCATTAGAAGTTTTGGTTTTAGAAGTTGGTAAACTGTTTACTTTGTTGTGGTGGCAGTGGAAGTGTGTTCCCTTCCCTCGATCACCTCACCTCCTCCTCGTCTTTTTGTCTCGCTCTTCCGTAGTCCGTGATAGCCTAAAAGTTAAGTGAAAGAAAGTTATTAATTTTTCGAGAGTATGTATATTACAGTACTTGATTTCCAGTTTTAATCTAGTTAGTTGTCTCGGTATTATTTCCATGTGTAGCGCGAGTACCTTTCTGTTAAACAGAACTCCGTTAGCTTTTGAATTGTTTGTCATCAGACAATTTTAGCCGACAGGGTTTGGTCTAGTCATGTTGAATAAAATGGTTTTTAAAATGTGATTTTACTTAGTATCGCGAAAGTGAAATGTATTACATATTAAGCAAGCATATGTAGGTTCATTTGTGAGTTTCAAATGTGATCTGAAAACTTTGAATCCAAGCTCAAAGTCGAAATTTGATCCAGTTGGTAACAAAGCCCTGCCCTTCTCTTCTAGCCAGACTCCTGCATAGGGTTTTGGATTTTCCTAACAAAACTTTTAAAAATTATAGAAGATGCTGTTCACCAATCTTATTTTTAATCAGCGGAAGTGCAAAGTTTATTTAAAAGTGAAATTTTATTCATGGACTACCAATAATCATTGTAGCCTATTTTGAATAGGCTTAGATAAGTTAACTCGATGCATAGGCCTATGTTATAATATTAAAATTATGGTAGTTTGGTGTAATGGAAAATATGTACATAAAACGTGAGCCTGGAATGGAAGAACCTTTTAAAAATGTTTGTTTTGTCTGTGGAAATGTGGGTCACCCTGATCAATATTGGCTACGAATCAAACCTACAACTAACCCTGCTGAAGCATATTTTCCATTTTTGGAATCTCATGAGCCTCCTGCTGGATATCGATATAACAGACAAGAGCAAGCAGTTAAATCTTGTTACCTTTGTTATTCATTGCTGATGCAACAATGGGAACGTTATCAAAGAGACAATACTCCACATAGTCGACGACTCTACTGGCTGAAACGTTGTGACAATGGCCCTTACACTGGAGCAGAAATGGGAATGCAGGGAGAATATGCTTCTCAAATTCTTGGACTCAGTGTTGAACCTATGCATCGGTAAGTAAGCTGACTGAGGTTAATAATTTTAACTTTTAGATTCTAACTTAGGCCTAGCTTAACTTATGTCGGGTAGACTTCCGTAACTTATCTGTTGTCAAAAACGATACATCGAATGTTACAATCGATATACTTATTGAATACCTACTTAATTGATATAGGCCTATTGATTGATATTTTCATTCGGTTGTTTTTGACATCAGATACGTAAGTCTACCCCTTACTTATGTCCAAATAAAGCTAGCTGAAGTATAATAACTAGTTTCGGGATTTACCTAAGATTCTCTTCTTTTCATATGTAGGCTTTAATAAGGTACTTAAACATACCAAATAGGTACCGGACACCCACCAAATACCGAACGCCCCGGGTTTCGTCTCAAATAATAAGCTTATGCTTCATCTGATCAACACCAACTTAATAACAATGCATTCGTTGGCTTTTTACCTGTCTGCAGACAAATGGGTTTGTAGATCGTCATTAGCCACTAGATCCAGTGAGCCGCGATTGGTCATGCTGTAACTTACCGGTACACAGTTTTGGCAAATTTCTAAAATCTCTTGTCTGTTTCCTTAAGAAACTGGTTGAATTTCTTAGGCTTTAATAACTAAGTATAGGCCTACCTGCCAATTTGTGATGAAGTAAGTTACAGTTTGTTCATATGAATATTTAAATATTTTTCAGTCGAATTTCAGCGAATTTCCCATATAGGGAATAGGTAGGCCTAAGCTATTACCATAGGTCTCATGGTAAGACCTAGACTCTGGACCGATTTAACTTACTTTTTCGTTTCGAGGTCCCCAGAGGTCAAAAACACCATCCGTTTGAATTCATATAACTTATATATTTCATATATATATATATGTGTCCGTTAGAGCAATAGGCCTAACTCGAGCTAAAATGATCCGATTTTGATGAAATTTGGTACAAACGTGTAAACCTACGTTTATTCGAACGAGTTCGCAAACCAGCATAATCAGACCATGGGAACAGGGGTTTAGGGGGGGGGGTTTATGGGGTTAAAATGGGTTTTCCCATTTTTTACCCTAAAAACAAGATTTTGCAATTTCTTTCTAAACCATTTTGTAGAGCTTAAAAAAAATAAATAATTTTGTTGGCTATATTGAAGCACTGTTGTACCTCTAATGGTCACAGAAAATATTCAAAAAAAGTGTTAGTTAATTAAAAATTCCCATTGTGGTATTCTTATGGAGAAAATGAATTTTGTTGCTTCATATTTTGTTGTGGTGTTTCCGGACCAATTGATTGACAAATAAATAAAAGGTTAAAATACCTGCTTGTCGCCTTGTGGTCCAAGTATTGTCCTAGTGGATTATGTACATTTCGGCGCGAGCGCCATCGTCGGATCCATATAAGAACTGTTTACACTAAACTTCCCTGAAGAGGTGCGTAAGATGTCCACAACACAAAACACATATAAAAACAAAAACGGTTTTTGTTTTTATATGTGTTTTGTGTTGTGGACATCTTACGCACCTCTTCAGGGAAGTTTAGTGTAAACAGTTCTTATATGGATCCGACGATGGCGCTCGCGCCGAAATGTACATAATCCACTAGGACAATACTTGGACCACAAGGCGACAAGCAGGTATTTTAACCTTTTATTTATTTGAATTTTGTTGTATTTTTCTTGTTTATGGATAACTTATAGGCTATGTTGATAAAATTTGGCAAATTTATTTATTTCATCCTATAGGCCTACCCGTACTACCTACTATTGACCTTTGGTCAAAAAACACGTTTTACCTTCCCCGTAGCAGCAAACCTAAGCACTTGTTTAATCTTTGAATGTTATTTAAATTGGAAATAAATATGTCTTATTTATAGAAATATTTGAGTAAAAATGTAATCAGACAAGTTGAAATTCGCTTAGTCTGCAGGTTTGCTGCGGCGGGGGTATTAAACGATAATAAAGACCCAGAAACTATTATAAGATTAATTTTCAAGCCGTCCGGAGCTTAGTACACTAAGCCTAAGTACCGGACGCATGATCGGAATTAGGCAGCGGCACTTCCTAACTCGGATTGTTACGTTTTTCGTGATATACGTATTTACTGATTTTGACTTGTTATTAAGTTAACTGTAAGTTAAATCGCTATAAAATCCACATTAAATAAAATCATACATTTTCTACAATTTATAAAAGTAGAGTACCGGTACTTTAAAAGGATATTTTTAGCAGAAATGGTCTTCTTAGGCCCACTGAAGTATAAGCATACGGCAAAATCATCCACCCTCAAAGTACTTAACATAGTTTTCATATTCCAATCTATGAAAGTTTAATGTATATAGTGTAAATAGAAATTTGATGCAACCTATCCGGCTCTGCTGGTCTCGGTCAAGGATGAGGTAATTAAGGCTAAGACTGCTGATAACTTCCCCTGCATAAGGTACAGTAGGCCTTCGTCATGTTGTAGGCTTAAAGTATAGCCTAGGCCTACTAACTTAGTCTAACTTAATAATCCATGATAAATTAGGTAGGCCTACCGGTAGCTTAATAAGTTATCACTACCGGTATGATAATTGTATTCTACCAACCTGTTATTTTTTACTTACGTTACATATTATTTTTTTAGTTAATATCTAAGTAGGCCTACCGGTAGGCTACCTATTTATCACAAACCTAGGCCTACTGTGTTTTATTTATTATTTCTTATTTAGGCCTATTTAGGCATAACTTATGTTAACTTATTTTGAAGGCAAATCCAAACCCAAACCAGATAATAGATAAATTTCCTTAGGCCTAATCTTTTAACTTTAATTTCACTGGTCACATATTTCTTTGGTTTAACTTGAGTCATCCCTTCCATGGATATTGCTCAGGGCTTTTGAAGGATATACTTTAATACTTTCTTATTAAATGGCGACCATACAAAGTAGGTATTTTAAGCCAAGTATGAATGGAGATGAGAGTAGGATGAGTGGCGCGATCTTGTAGTCTTGACTACGCCTAAGGCCGACAATCCTTAGACACAGACTGTTAATTAATAGCCCATACAGTTAATGGCAACTAAGGGACCTACAGTTTATAGTGGAATCCGAACCACATTTTTGCCTAATTAAAATTGGTCTAATTATCAGGATAGTACTGCAGATAGTCGTAGTACTCACTCAAGTGGACGTTTATCCACATCAGGGAGTATCGCATCAACAGTGCATGCCTATAAATATCCACAATTCTTGACCTCCTAGTAGCTGGATTACAGGACGACGCCACCCGTCCCAGTCATGTAGTACTCAATGAATGAGTTCCATATGTAGTCATTCATACTGTCCTCTACCATATGTAGCTGCCTTTGATTTAATGAAGTATTTTTTTTGTCTTTTTTGTATTTTTTGGTGTCCAAACGAATATACAGTGGTAACTTGTTAACTTACTAATAGTTTCGATACCTTTTGGTCTAAAAATACTGGAAATATTTTCGCCTATGACAATATGATGTTATTTTGGCTTCTGTATCTCTTGTTCGCTGTTGTCATCTTCTGAGGAGAGGCCATGACCAGTGTTTTCAAATGACCAAAACAATAATCCTGCTAACCGGTTTTAAGAAATCCTGTATCATCCCGCTTTTGAATCATGAAAAATACCGTTTTATTTTGACATACCGTTCAAATTGTTGTAAATAACTTCTTGATTAACATTGTACATGTAATTTAATTTACGGAAAGTAAATAAATAAAAGAAACGTCTTTTAACACTTAAAACGTATATGTAGTTACTGTTAGTTAGCTGTTACTCACAAGACAGTAAATATACATAGCCTAGGTCATTTGCCTATTGGGTCTGATGATGATTGGAGAGTCCTATCGAAATCGATCACCACTTACAACCTATATTAACCGTCTTGTGAGTAACTATAAGCGTAAATATATGTTTTAAGTGTTATAAGACGTTTCTTTTATCTACTTTCCGTAATTTTGTTTAAACATTGCTTTGCAACAGTAATTAGGCCCATTAATCAATTGAAGTTAGTTTTTCTCTAAGATTAAGTACCTACAAACAATAAAAAAAAACAGACCTCAGAGCTGAAAATCCCGAACGTTTCATCCAGCATCCCGTTTCAATCTCGCTTAGGTTTTGGCCTAAAAGTCTGTTTGCGGAATAATAATCCCGTAAGTATGGAAACACTGGCCATGACCTGAAGGTCTTCTATTTTTTTTTTGGGGTTTTACTGGCAGAAGTGGGGGATACGTTTCCATAGATGAAAGGATTATAATCTTCATGCTGCTGTCTAGCCTATCACTTAGGCCTATTGTTTCTGACATCCCTTGTGTTATTAAACAGCCTGCTCTCACCTTGGAGATTTTTCTCTTGCAAAAGCTTATTTTATTTAATTTCAATGCCACACTGTTATTTCTATAGAGTGTTTATTTTTTATCTAGTGTGTTGTTGGAAAAGGATAGATATGAGTTTCTTTGAAGTGCTTTGAGTCATATAGAGGGGGGGGGGGGGGGGTAACTATGAACTTGTTAGGTTGCAACTTGCTGTAGAATCTTGTTGCCTTCTTCCATCAGTAAGAATATCATTAGTTCTAGCAACAATTACTGTATACTGTATCGTCTTCAAAGGTTTTGGTACTAGATTGTTAGCTCAACTAGGTCCTCAACAACATGTTTAGGTTAGTTATAGTGGTTTGGGGAGGTTCCATAAATCATAAATCATAAATCTTTATTGGTCATTAAATAACATATGTTACAATAGACCTATAACATGGAATCTTCATTAAACTTAAATATAACAAAGACAACAAGAAAATAAAGCTAAAATCATTTGAAAAACACAGAACTATATATATGAAACAAAAGTGAGGTACCTACTTAAACAAGTGTTTGAAAGACTAGGTAACAATTGACTAGGGACTAAGTAAGAACTAGATAACAATTTTACCATTACAATTGTATTCTGCAAAAAATTCATCTAAACTGTAAAAAGGGTGGTCAGCAAGCCAAACCATCAACTTTTGTTTTAGCCGAGTACAATGAATGTCAAGTATTTCACTTGCAAAACAATTTACTATTTTTACTGATATACTAGCAAAACTTTGCTGTACTGTTGTTAGTCTGGTGTAGGGCCTATCCAAAGCAGATCTTCCCCTTGTGTAATATGAGTGAAAATTATTTCTTGAGCTAAAGAAATGTGAATTTTGTTTTACAAAAATAACACACTCTAATATATACAAATTTACAGTTGTCAGGATACCTGTTGCTTTAAAAAGAGGTTTACAATGGTCCCTCAACCCTGAATTGGTCAACAGTCTTACAGCCTTTTTTTGAAGCTTTAAAATTATTAGAATGTGGGTGGAGTTACCCCACAGTAACAGACCATACTTTAACAGACTTTGAAAAAAAGCAAAATACGCAGATCTAACATACAAAGGAGGAACAAAATCTCTTAGACGTCTAATTAAAAATAAAACTCTTGACAATTTCTTACTTAAGTTATATAAATGGGTTGACCAGCTTAAATCACTATCCAAATCTATGCCTAATAAATTTACACTTGACGAAAAATTCTTTTCTTCCTCAGGTGTGCGACCTAACCTAAAAACAATAGTTTGAGTCTTTTCAGGATTCATAAAAAACCCATTGACACCCATACATGCAAACAAAGTATTTATGGAACAGAAACTAGCTGTTTGTATTTTATCTGGTCCCCCCACCTTTGAACTCTTGTAGAGGAGTTTTTTTTCCTTTATATCCTCACACTTTCTACTCTATGTTTTAAAAGTGGTCCTATTCTTCCAGCTTAGAATTGGGCCTCTTCCTGCTGTTGGAGATGGATATAGGTATCCGACCAGACATGGCTCAGATCTTCTTCTTTTTCCATAAATCCGCCAGTCCCTGTCTGAAAAAGAAACTTTTACAGCGGGTATAAATATGTATAACCGCCTTCCAACCAGTGTAGGCCTAAAGGAATGCTATCACAAAAAAGTTCAGATTGCATCTTCATGTTTTATATAGGCCCTAGGCCTAATGTGTATCTTATTTATGAAATGTGATGATTAGTTGTTAGGCTTTATTTGACGACTGAGGTGTCGGCCTATAATTGTATCAAATTACCTGTTCAAGAATAAATGACTATGACTAGCAGTTACCACTTTTACCAGTTTTAGCAGTTACCGCTTTGTCAGGTCCAAGATATTCTTCCACCCCATGGCTGATGTCATGGCTATCGTCCACTATGAACACTGTTTTTGTTGAATTGTTATAACTACCTATTCCTGACTTTCTCTTAATAACAAAATTAATCCTTTTTGGTGTCTTAAGGTATTGCACACACCTATTTTGCTTCTTTTTACAGTAGGAGTTTTGCTTAAAGTGTAGTTTTTAGCTTGAACAAATAATTATGACAGGTTTTTTTCTTAATATTACTGTTATAGCCTACAATATTAAAGCGCAATATTAAATATCAAAGACTTAGGCTAGCCTATATATTGCTTTTGCTGACAACAGATGTTTTGAAATGCCACTCGAACCATGTTTGATTGCTTCACAGATGTTCATCTGCTCATTTGACGCAAGTGCAAGAACACCAACTTGATTAAACAAAACAAAAGTTGTTTCATCTTTTCATTCCATATAATAGGGAGGATAAAATACATTTTTAGGGTCTACATTTAATTATTAAAACATTATACACTCCTTTTAAACTTTTTGGCACTAAGTCATTCATCAAACTGTTGATCTATTCATTGTATTAGAAATTTTTTGTAAAATAATTTGATGGCAGCTGAAATATCACAGTATTTGTTCACAGCTGGATAACCTGGGTGAAGTCAGCCATGTAGTGAAGTTATTGGTTATAACTTAAATCAACAAACATAAATGGAACAAATTCCTTAATAGGCCTACATTAAATGCTTGTTCCTTCACATAGCCAAGCAAGGTTTGACTAGGTATTAAAGTTGCCTGATTCTATGGGCCCCTAATTTAACTGTGACTAAAAAAAATGCTGATGTTGTCTACTAGGAGACTTGTTGAAAAGTTAACAGACCATGAATATTCTGATTGTGATGGTGTTTCAGAGAATCGTCAGCACCGCCAGTCCCAGAGGTATCGCGTAGTGCCCCGCCAGAGGATAAGAGAATGTCACCGAGAGTGGTGTCGGCTCCTCCGCCTGCTGAGACACCAGACCACACGGCGCTAGACTTGCGCCAGTCACCTGCCGTGTCTCTACACTCGGTGCACTCCAATCCTGGTGAGACAGACGTTTATATAAATATCTCTCTTACAACAAACTGAAGTAAATTGACAGTTGTTTCACTGAATTTTGTTGTAAACAGATCTATAACAGAAACAGATTTATACTAAGGCTTGCATCTAAATATAACATTCTGCTCAATAAGTATTTAGTCTGCAGGTTTGCTGTGGCGGGGGTATTTATTACTTAAATCAATCTACTCGGTAACAGTAAATGAAGACTAAGAAATATAATATAGTATCATCATTATCATGAAAAGAATTTGTATAGTGAAAAATCGACTAGATTTAAATTGCATATCTATTATACATTTGCATAATGTAGCCAACTCACTTTTTTTTAATCTTGATCAATATTTATATAACTACAAAATAAATTAAATAGTCTTCACGCTTCTGTTCATGGTACTTATGAAGTTTGTCAAGAATAGCTTGCTGATTTAAAATCAACTAATGTTTTTGTTCACTTCTTCAATATACCAAGACGGCAAGACTGTGATACATTTGTGTTGTTTTCTTCTTCTAGGCAGCAGTACAGGAACAGACATACTGGACTTGTCCATGCCAGACAAGAACGCTGTGACAGAAGTGTGCTATGTGTGTGGAGAGGAGTTTGCTAGAGGGTCGCTAACACAGATCTCGTCCAAGCCCAGTGCAGCCAATAGCCCAACACCGTTTTTCCCAAGCCTGATCCTTCACCCGCGACCCGCTCGCAGCAGACCCATGGACAGTGGAGGGAAAGTACAGGCTTGTACGCTGTGTTTCACACATCTTCTGCATCAGTGGCAGGTAAATTCTTTTGTTTTAATGGTTTGTTTATGGTTCAATGGAAGGGTAATTTTATCTGCTTACCTTGGTGGTTATCAGACAAAAACTTAATTTCTTCCAACAATAAACAGGAGAGATTCTGAGTAACTGGTGTGACATTGTTAGTTACCTCGTTCCCTCTCCTACATAGGCTACTATAATATATTTAGTAGAGTAAGTGGGTTTCAATTAAAGTGTCAACGTGAGTGTAAACTCCCTCGAAAGATTTCAGGTATTTGTTCCTTAGGTCATAACAATAAAAATATCTTATAAACACGGGTCTAAAATTCCTGGTTTTCTGTCTGTCTGTATGTGATTTTTATAAATTGTATAGATAGCTTACGAAACCTTAAAGCGGTTGACTTCAAACTTAATACACAAGTAGTGACAGAAGGGTTCAACAGTTACGGATTTGTAAGAATCACATACATACAGACAGACAAACAGAAAACCAGGAATTTTAGACCCAGGTTTATATGATTTTTTTTAGTGTTTAGGCCCAAAGAACTAATGTGTAAAATCTCTCCTGGATGTTTGTACACACTTTGTATGTTTGCAATAGCCATATCGGTTATTAAACAATCGTTATATGATCATTTGTATTAGGTTTAGTTACGTTGCAACATAAATTACTGTTAAAGTAGGATTAATAAGTATTAATCAAATTAAAACTGACCATCAAAAACATGTTATTATATTGACAAACATAAGGAAAATATTCTAGTACTGGTTAAATCAACTTACACATTACAATTCATCTTAGTTTTTTAGTGATTGTTTGGAAAGACAATTATGCAAATCCAATGTGAACATGTAATTTATTTATGGTAAAATTATTTAAGTGAAGACTTTTTACCGTATCCTTTAGATGAGTTAATATTTTTTTCTCTATTCTCTTTCCACAGGCTTATTCAACGCAAGGAGTGGCTCATTCAGAGCGTAACTACAAGTTGCGCAAACGAGAGGCAACGACCAATTTTGTCTGTTACACTTGCGCACTGGAGTACCCCTCGTCATCCATACGTCTGTTGTACTGTTGTCCCAACCCAGAGAAGGAAGCTTACTTTCCCTTTATTTGCAGTTTAAAACCTCCACCCGGAGCAAGTCCTATTTCCCCTCAGGGGATGGTTCAGGTAAGGAACCAGTATTTTATTGTTTTCTTTTTTCAGTTGATAGTACCTTAAAGAAGTACAGATTATTAAAAATATATTAAAATATTATGTATTAGGCCTACTGGTTCCAAAAAAAGTTTTGGTAAAAAACAATAGCTGTTCAGTAAATAACAGACATAATGTCCTCTTGAACTTTTGAAGAAGACATCTTAGGCAAATTTTAAGTGATTGTTGTTCAATTTTGTGATACCCTCTACTAATCAGGCAAATAGGCCTAGGCTGTGTCAATATTGCCACTGGTCTGCATTATTCCGTGGTTTGGTTACACAAATTGTGTTGACAAAGCTTTAGACTACTATGAACTGAATCCCCTTTCACTCATTCAATGATTTCTTTGAGATGGCAAGACGGTACTTTGCATGATTTAAAACTTAATATGAGCAACAGAGTGTAGAATATATGTGTATTAGGAGCAGAATGAGAACTTAAATCAACCTTATATCCAAAAGAACTTCTGTAACTACTTAGAGTTATTAAAATTTACATTTTTATACACTTTTGTTGTCGCAGGTTTGTTCGATTTGCTACAAATCCATCCCTCAGAAACAGAGTTTGTTCGGATCTGGGGTGAAGAGTGAGTTAGAGCCCATGCCTGTCACCACACAGTCCACATTGCCACTGACCTACCCCAGTGTAGCCACTACACCCACTCTGCCAGCTGCCAAGAGTCCAGATATACGCTTTCGTCCCTACGAACTGTCCAGGCCTTCCCCGTCACCAAAGGTAGGCTATAACAGTTTATTTATTTTTATTTGTGTTTAAATGTAATTGAAAATCATTTACCAAAGGGAATAGTCAAAACCTTGGCATTGTTTTCTTTTAATATGGATCTTTTGTTAGATAGTATCGTAGTTGATTTAACTTCCAGAATTTACAAGCAATCGTTAAATTTTTAAGTGAGCACTATAACCACTTAGTTGCCCAACAAAATTAAATTGACAGAAGTTACATGTTGGTCTGGAATAGTTGAATATGTTAAATACAGTAGGCCTATGTAAAAATAAATATTGGCTGACTTCTTAGTGGGGCGATTTCTTTTATTACCCCAGATAACTGTTAAATAGTGGAACTCAATACTTAAATTAATGATGATAGGCGGCTTATTTTTGTAAACGTTCATTTTTTTATCTTATTAAACCAAACTCTTTGTATGAAGTTTTCCTTGCCAGACATTCAATGAAGTTCACCTATTTATAATAGTTATTTAAGGAAGAAACAATAAAATACTTAGTTCGATGATATCATTAGTTGATAATCATTTTTGTTTCTTCTAACATTATACAGAAGAGTTTCTGAGAGGCCTGAGTAATATCTCATGTCTCCTCGTTCCCTCTTCCACATTTTTATGTAATTTTTTTGTCAATTAAATTTTAACTTTCTGCAAAAAACAAATAAATGATCTAAGTATTATTGAGCATGTCTTTAGTTAATTAACTAAACATTTTTCTAATTTTTGTGAAATTTTGACAAACACATATTTAACAAACACTTGGCATTGTCGAATAAAAATCACCAATTTTTTTTTTTAAAGAGGTTGGCGGCCTCTTTTTTAACCTTGCATTTGTCCGTCCACATAGACTAAGCGCCCGTGCGTGGATCGTTTGCAGCAAAGCAAGGAGTGAGCCGGTACAGTACAAAGGTGAACTGTACTGATAAAATGTTATCGGCAGTGACCAGGATCCGAACCCATGACATCGCTGCGACGCTACCGACTCACTAAAAAAAACACCCACTAAATTGGAAGAAAAACACCCAGTTTGATGATATCACTAGTTGATAATCATTTTCTGTTCCTTCCAACATTAAATAGGAGAGTTTCTGAGAGGCCTGAGTAATATCCTAGGTCTCCTCGTTCCCTCTTCCACATTTTATGGTGTTTTAACATATTTCAATACAGGGAAAAGTAACTGTAGCTAACTAAGGAAATATATTTAGAGAACACTAGGAATCAGACACATTTTTAAATCAATTAAACTTGAAACCTACAATATAAAAAATATACATTTACCATGCTGTTATGCACATCCCTTTAGGGTTTTAAAGAAAACCTCTTAGAAATGAATGTAAAACATGTAAAGTATCACTTTATATTGTTTGACAGTTGTGAAGTAAGCCAATGCTATTCATTATTCAAGGAAGAAACTCGACAAAACATTTTGTTTGATGATATCACTAGTTGATAATCATTTTCTGTTCCTTCCAACATCAAACAGGAGAGTTTCTGAGATGCCTGAGTAATATCTTAGGTCTCCTCGTTCCCTCTTCCACATTTTATGGTGTTTTAACAAGTTCCACAACGTAAAATGAATAGGTAGTAATAGTAAGCCGATAAAATAATAAGACCTTCTTACCCCTTAACATCTTTTTTATGCAATTTGTTGCTCATACTTTACTAATTAGAATTACAAAACAATGGTAGTATTTTTATAATGGTTTTCCAATGTTAGGCCACACCTTCACCCAAGCCCCCCAGTGTGGACGGCAGTAACGGACTGCAGCATTATAGGTGTTACGTGTGCGGCAACCAGACACCTCAGAGCAACATGGAGTGGCTGTCTACGGAGGCAGAGGTAGGTTAAGTGCAAAAAGTATCCGTTGTAAAAAAACTACAGTTTTCATTATGTTACGTAGACTAGGAAACTAGGAAACAGGTGGTTACTATAGTTTACATTATCATGCAAATCGATAGTAGTCCTAATATAGAATTAATCAGAGGCCTACTGGTTAATGTTGGTATATTTGTGTAATGAAGCTGTTGAGAATATGAATTGCTGTCTACTGAGACAAAGGTTATTAGTGAAATTATAGAACAATCAGTCCTCTTCGCCACTAATTGATAATTCAATAACTATAATTTTTGTTACATACCTCTTTATCCTTATCAATTCACTGTCTTTTCTGAATAGTTTTGGAACGTTAGGCCTATAGCTCAATTTGTCAATTTCTGGAGATTTTGAAGTATCATGAAATACATTGTCACAAGAAACATTTTAACACATAAACAATCAGTGAAATTGTAAATAAAAAATGGTAACATTATTGCCTCAACTAAAACAATTAATTCCAAACAGAGGGCAACTTGTAACCCTCAACATTATATCAATCACCTTGAACCTTCCGTGTACTCAGGTCAAAACCTAATCAATCGATATTAAGCTTGTAACTTTTGCCGATTATTTCACCCTATTAGTGTGTATTAACTATAATGTTTCTATCACTAAAAAACTGTTTCAGTGAAAACAATTTTCAACCCTCCAGTACACGCGCTGTGGACTCAGAGGCCGCACATTTGAAAAAGCGCGCCGTAATAAATGAAACCGCGAGCAAATGATATGACGTGCCAACTACCTTCCCCCATTACCTTACCAAGAACATTGACGGTGTTTTGACCGTCAGTTGGCCCTGAGCTATGAGGGTGTACAGTTAGGCACGGACTCACACTCAGGGGTTGCCTCAGAGTAGCACCAGCACCTGCCCCAGGCAACGAAGAAGCACGAGGGCGATGTTACCTGTGACAGGAAAAAGAACAGACCTACCCAATTATGTCACTTTTTTGTGTTTTCAAGTTAATCAATACCTAACTACTGATTAATTTTTAAGTTTAAATTCACGCAGAAGTAAGATGCGGACTGTCAGTCCGAGCGTGTGTACTGGGGACTATTAGCCGCGCGTGTATTGGATGGTTGAATATTCATTGTTCCTTGTTGCAGCTTTTATATTTTATACCAAGCATTTTTCCAGTTTTCCTCAACTTCTCATCAAAATTCTAGTTTCTTGTTCATTATTTTTAAATGGTTGATTTATAAATCAAGCTTTATATGTTGGTAGGTAATGGCAAGACAACTATAATAAACTAATTCATCCTCCCCTTCCTTTTTGTTTTGCAATGACACAACTGTACTAAATGAAAATATTCATATACAGTAGAACCTCTTTAATCCAACCCCCGTAATCCGAACGTCCACTTATCCGAACCCCTCATTGCTGTACTCTATACACAGTACAGCAGTTCTTTATTGTATACTGTATTTAATTTACAGTACGTTTTATTCACCATGTAAGACTAGATTACTTACGTCAATAGCTCATTGAATTTCATTTAATGTTTCAGTACATGTTTCGACACATTGTCATCCTCAGCTGAGTACTAGTGAAGTTTTTATTCACCATATGGTTTCGTCAATGTTCAATTAAATAACACATAACACAAATACGACACGACACGGAACATATACATTTAAAACACGTAAAGCTTTAGACATGCAGGCCTGCTCGAACAAAACACACGGTCACGCCGCGGGTCGGGGACAGACTGACTAGTGACTATTTGTTTATCCAGGCTTATCATTGTTATCACGGAGGCAGTGGACAGCTGTTTCTTTGGTAGGAATGATAGAATTGAATATCGAGTTGGAGCTAAAATTTAGTTTTTCATTCAGAACAAATTTATTTTCATCGTTATTTTTGTGAGCTCTGTATATTTCGTACTCCTCCAACGTGTCCAATTTTCTGCCCTTTTCACAAATGTGGAGTATTTCTAGACTGTCTTCTATTGTTCCAAATGAGTGGTTATTGTCGATTGCTGATTTCTGTTTGTTCGTCCTAGGGTTTGGTCTGTGTTCTTTAAATCGTGTGTTAAACCCGCGACCAGTTTGGCCTATATATATGCTCGGGCAGTCAGCACATTTTAGTTTATAGACACCAGTTTTGTTATTATTGTTCATTTTTGCATTTGGCGTTTTGTAATTCAGCAAGTTTTTTGTTTTATTCTTCGTGTTGAAGACTAGGCTTAAGTTGTTATCCCTCATAGATTTTTTCAATGTGTGTTGTATGGTGTGACTGTATTCGATACATACGTATTTAGCCTTATTTTCATGGTTTAGTTGGCAAGTTTCGATGTTAGTTTTTCGTTTGTTCTTATGTTTGGTGATAAGTCTGTCCACTAAACTGTCAACATAACCATTTGCCCTAGCGATGTGTTTGATTATAGCTACCTCTGAATCAAAGTCGGATTTATTTAATGGTATACTTAGTAAACGGTGTATCATTGAGTTGTAGGCACCCATTTTTTGTGAATGTGGATGGTATGAGCTGGCATGAATTGTTTGATCTGTTGTGGTCGGTTTTCTGTAGATGCTAAATTCAAGTTTCGTGTCCTGCTTTTTTATGGTTAAATCGAGAAAGTTGAGTTGGTTATTATTTTCTATTTCAATGGTGAATTTCAGTTTTGGAGCTATTTTGTTGAGGTAGTTGTGGAGGAGGTTCAGTTGTCTATTGTTTCCATTGAATAACATTATTGTGTCGTCTACGTATCTATAGTAGAATAATATTTTGTCCTTATATTTGTTTTTATTTGAAAAGATGTGTTCATTTTCGATATGATCGAGGTAGATATTGGCTAAAAACCCTGATAGTGGTGAACCCATGGCTAGACCGTCTGTTTGTTGGTAAAATTTGTCTTCAAAAATAAAATAATTTTGTTTTAATATCTCTGTTAGAAGTTCCATTAACTCATTTATTGCTTGAGGTTCTAGGGTAACATATATATAAGTAACGTATATATAGGCCAAACTGGTCGCGGGTTTAACACACGATTTAAAGAACACAGACCAAACCCTAGGACGAACAAACAGAAATCAGCATTCAGCCAACATAATCGACAATAACCACTCATTTGGAACAATAGAAGACAGTCTAGAAATACTCCACATTTGTGAAAAGGGCAGAAAATTGGACACGTTGGAGGAGTACGAAATATACAGAGCTCACAAAAATAACGATGAAAATAAATTTGTTCTGAATGAAAAACTAAATTTTAGCTCCAACTCGATATTCAATTCTATCATTCCTACCAAAGAAACAGCTGTCCACTGCCTCCGTGATAACAATGATAAGCCTGGATAAACAAATAGTCACTAGTCAGTCTGTCCCCGACCCGCGGCGTGACCGTGTGTTTTGTTCGAGCAGGCCTGCATGTCTAAAGCTTTACGTGTTTTAAATGTATATGTTCCGTGTCGTGTCGTATTTGTGTTATGTGTTATTTAATTGAACATTGACGAAACCATATGGTGAATAAAAACTTCACTAGTACTCAGCTGAGGATGACAATGTGTCGAAACATGTACTGAAACATTAAATGAAATTCAATGAGCTATTGACGTAAGTAATCTAGTCTTACAATAATATATACAGCTCAGGGGCTTAACAATGAATTTAAATTATTCACCATGTTTACTACTGTACTAAATAAACACTGTATTTTACTTTATAAAACATTTTTTCACTTTCCCCAAAATAATGTTGATCAATTTTAGCCATGTTTTAGCTATTGTTATGTAAAAACAACAATATGTTCTGTAATCCGAACTATTCGATAGTCCGAACTACCCCTGGTCCCAATTAGTTCGGATTAAAGAGGTTCTACTGTAATCTGAAATTTGAAGGTTTTTTACATGTAACTATGATACCCATATCCTGTGAGATAGATGTAAATGTTGGACTTTCATTCGTGATCTGTATATAGCCTATGTCACTCTCTCCTTTAGTAAAGTGTGTTGTATGCAACAGGGTATGAACTCTCATGCAATGCACTTCCCCTGTCTACGGACGCTGGGCTCGCAGGAAGGCAGGATAGACTCATGGGGACGTGTTCTGACGTGTCTGCCGTGCAGCAAGCATCTGGCGCGACAGTGGGAGGCGATGGAGAATGATCGGATACCGCTGGAGCGACGCAGGTGAGCTTTAAATCATTCAGTCAAAAACATTTATGTCACATAATAAAAATTTGAGATTGAATTAAAGAATTTTCTCAGATGTTTATCTTAGGAAAACCCGTTTATTAGGAGGAAAATTATAATTTTATTAATTTTAGGCTATGTATTTTTATCAGTTATGTAGGATGTCTTATAGTCATGTCTTATGTAGACGTTTAATCAGTTTAAGTGTCATTGTGATCCAAAGATATTGAAAGGTTTTTTTTGCACTATAATTTTTATTTTACACAACCTGAACTAGGTACACAAAAATCAGACTGATTAATCTTTTGGAGCTTTTTTACCTTTTGGAGCTGTTATTTATTCTTTGCACTCAATCCCAACACCTCTGTTTTAATCAAGATTTGTGTTTCCGTATATGTACTGTGAAACTTCCTTTACTAAAATATGGATTTGAACACCAAGGAACAAAGTAAAAAAAAACTTTTTTTTTGGCAGTAATAGGCTTTTAAATGGAAAAGGACAATTCTTATTGTAAAACTGAACAAGAAATACATGTATTGGTGCTTTACACTGTACAGCAGAAATATAATAATTCTTATTTTTCTACTAAAGGAAGAAAATACAACATTTTATTTGATGATGTTATTAGGTACGATGTTCCTCACAACACACAGAACGGCATATCTCCAGCGTCTTCAGTGTCCGGTGGCAACAGTTCCTCAATCTACTGCTTCTTATGTGGTCTGCACAGCGACTTGACTCTGGCGCGGGTGTTGTACAGTAAACCTCAGGTACACAACACCAACATATCCAAACTTCCATTATCAACTTTCTGTGCGAATATTAACTAAACAAAAAATATTGGAAGTGTTTCAAGCAGAGAAAAAGGATAGACTATTGAAATTAAAAATGCTACAGACAAGCGTTTAAAACAAAATGTGTATTACTAAGTGTATTACTAAGTATTACTAGTAAGTAATTAAGTAAAAAGCAATGTGTTGCAACCAGGGAGTCAAATGTAGAAACAGTTAGCTCAAGGCTTTTGATTGCTCGATTGGTCAGTTAGGCATAATGAAATCACTTGATAGAAGATGGAGTTCAAAGGGTTAGGTTTATATTTGATCAACAGTATGACACTGTACACTTTACATTTTCCAGTTCTGTAGATATAAATAAGTATACGTTTTGTATTCATTCCACCCCCCCCCCCCTAAATGTCACCATTAACAGGTGGATAAACATATACTTAGATTTTCTTTACTAACAAAATTAAATTACTTGAATCATTTGTGATTTGAATTCCTATGAAATTATGGTTCAGACTTCTAATTTATTAACATAATCCTTAAATTTTACCTTCCACAGCAAGACAATTTACTAGTTATGTTAAACTTTGACATTATTTAAGACACTTTTTTATGCTTTTGATTATGCTGTTGCAGGGTCGCAACGCACCGTACTTCCCGTCACTGTTGACACACAGTTCGCCAGCCAACGCAGAGCAGCTGCGTGAGGACGGTAGTGCGCTGGTGTGTACGTTCTGTTATCACAGCATGGTGGCGCAGTGGCGTGCGCTGGCACACCAACAGCCAGACACTCGCGTGTACAACTGGCGAGACTATATCTGCTACGTCTGCGGCATCACTACGTACAGGCTGCGTGTGCGGGCACTGCCAGTCAAGGTAAGGACTGTCTAAATGTCTATCTGGTCTGAGAAATCATTTAGGAGAAAGTTGAAAGGGGTTAATAGTTGTGTAATTAGCAGGATAGTTTATCTAGACTGAGATAAATTGTGTTTAGGTGGGTCAAAGTAACATACTGAAGTTGCAGTTACACTTGTATTTTAATTAAATACATCGAGGATCAAAGAATGGCAGTTTCCTTTTCTGCTATGTTTGGGAAATCCTATAATGGAATCAATTCCATAAATTAATCAATCCTGCTTATCTGGTTAACCATTATGTTATTATTAATTTATTATAAATTAAATTAATTTAATTATTGTAAAACATGTTTGATTGCCTTAATATTTAGGTTTTGTTTCTCCTTTCTTCAATCCCAAACCTCCACCATTTCCTATAATACTCGTAAAGTTTTTCCCATAGCGGTTATTTTGAAATGTAAATTCACTTCGTAAATCTATGTGTCTTGTTGATTTGGACCCAACGACTTTCAAGAAACGGTGTAATTAGAGGCATTACAAATTAATGTCCTTTAATACAGTGTCCTATTTCCTTATGTGCATTATAAGTTAAGAATATAGTAAGGCTTTGTTTATTTCGCTGTACTATATCAATAAATTGGCTTGCATTTTGGACCTAAGATTCTTTGAACCCAGCATGAATATTGTGGTTTTTGTGGTACTTTGACTTTTTATTCTTTGGACAAATTAATATTGTGTACACAATGCAACACTGCTGTTGTAACAACAGTTGTCTTGTCTATGAAAAGCTAAGATTTATTTCTTCTAAGTCTTTATTCTGTCACTTTTTTCATTGATAAAAAATACTACAAAAACTATCCAACCAAACTAAGAACAAGAACGTTTTAGATTAGATAGGTAGAACCTAACAATGATCAACACTGTACATGTTTTGCAGGACTTCCCGTTTGTCAGGTACCACCGCCAGCCTGATGGGTCGCTACTGCTGGAGAACGGTGATTACGCTGTGGTCTGTCTGGACTGCTACGAGACGCTCCGCTCTCAGAACAATGAGTATGAGAGGTCAGTCTCCAACCTGTACATTCTCTGATAATATACGTTATGGTATTAATCAACTGAGTGGTAGCCATAGTTCATAGTCTGTTTTAAAGCTAACAAACAAAAACAAATAAAGTAACTAAATAGTGAATACTCTACTATAAAGATAATGCAGTCAATGGGTTTGGCCAAAGAATTAATTGTGGTCTCAATTCCAAGGCTCTAATTCGATCCCAGGATTTTTCAAGTTGATCCCGGGATACTATTATTTTATGGTTTTCACTTTTTTGTTATTTAAAATTAGCTTAGAGTCACTTTGTTAAGCTCCTTAATAAGTAGGGATTGAGGAGATTGGATTTTTAGATCAAGACGAGACGGAATTATTTTTTCTCAGAAAATTTTTAGACGTGATTTCCCTTCTCATACATAACAAGAAATGCACGTTTGACATTTTTGTAACAATGATTTTGTAACAATTTTAAATATCTACTGATTTATGACAGATGACTAGTTAAATTCAAAAATAATAATAATAGGCAGGAATGCTTAAAATATTTGATTAAAAACATCAGTATAAAAAAATTAATTAGGCATACCTTATTAAAAATAACTCTTATGCTTAAGAAACATGGTGATACCAGTTAGAATTATAGTCCAACTTTGAAAAATGCCAAATTTATCAGTCTTACATGTTAAGTATTACATCACAACTAGTGGCTTGTAGGGGCAATAGCCCCTATATTATGGTATTTATTTTGTACAAATTATTAGTCTCATGGATTACCCTACCTTGAATTATCATTTAACATTTTTGTAAATTATGATATGTATAATAGTTATTACATACCTGCATAATGCATTTTGCATAATGTGTCTGCTCTATTTAAAATAAAAATTCCAAAGGACATCATGTGGTGTGTTTATAATATAAACTTTCTAATCATAATTTACAACTATGGAACATTTTCCAATAAACAATCTTTAAGACTATTAATTAAATCTATATAGATTTCTTTAAATATAGACAAATTATCTTAGAAAAACACATAGAGATAATGTCATCATCGAAATTGTAAACTGCTAATTCTACGACAAAATCTCTCTGAAACAATTTGTTTTTTGTAGTATCCATTTCGGTCGATTACTTGGTCTTTATATGGTTCTAGTACTATTTTAACACAATCTGGCCTCTTTACTTTTCTAAAAGCAACATATAGTTGACCATGGGTAAACACTGGGTTTTTTTTAAATAAATGCCCACTTTTGTGTAGGTTCGTCCTTGCGCCAAAATTTTACCAAATCAAATCGTTCTTTGGTCCTACCCTGTGTAATGCAATCTCATTTAAAAGTGGTAATCTATAAACAGGAATAAATTCATGCCGATGCTCATTTATTCTTCTTCCATTAATATTGTGCCAAATCTGGTGCCTGTTGTTTTCATTTCGAGGAACAATAACTCTGCGTGGTAGTCTTTCGACATTATACATTACTGTGCAAAAAAACAATCCATTGTAAAGTATTAAGCTTAAAAGTATCAAATTGTTTACAGTTCAAAAGATTTGATCTAATTTTCAATTTGTGTTGTTTACTGCTTCATAAACAATTTTACAATAACAAAATAATAACATATGCACATTCAGGTGTAGTTATAACTTTTTTTCAATTTATATAATCACAGCTGTGGTTATGGAGTGACTTTGTTTGACTGTGTTTACACAGTAGTAAAACATATCTCCCACTGCTTAAACTTAACAAAACCTCTCATCATTTGCCATGTTAAAACCAAAAATTTAAAACAATTAAAACAATATTTACATGTAAAGAATTAATTAAATAAGAACGCCTTCACAAAGGAAACACAACAGCAACGTGCTCCTGTATTGCGGGTATTGCATTAACATTCTGCAGGCTTTTTTTTTATAATCTCATTTCAAAAAAATCTTGATCAAAATAAAATCTCGTCTTGTAGAACAAGATTTAAAATTTCCCAAAAATTTCTTGAAATTTTGAGACTCGTCCATCTCTACTAATAAGAGTTGTGAACTATTTTTTGGAGATTGGTAGGTCATAGACTAAAAATACTAGCATATGTGCATAAACAGATATGCAGGTATATCATCAACTTAATACAACTTTGAACTTTAATTCATCAAGTAAAATAAATCACCATCTCCTGCGATTTCAGCAACATCTTTAATATCTTCGGAAAAAGCAGACACATAATGAAAGTCTCTTAAGATTGCAGGGGCATCATGAATTTTTTATCACCCAATATTTTATGACGCTTTCTAATACTAGTATAAAGCTTAGCTCGGCTCAATTTTTCTAAATTGGCGCTTGATCGCTCAACCTTTTAGGCTCGGCTTGGTTAAAAAATTGAGACACCTCAAGTGTGCATTGTAACTCTGAAAACTGAAAACTGAGTTTTTCGTACTTAATAAGTTTGATACAACTTCAATATTAATTTTGTAATCATCTTGTCTCTTGTGTCTGGTCAGTTTTGTGAATTATGGTAAAAAAAAAGAGTGCGATTCCATGAAAGAGAAGTTCCAAACATTGAATTTTGAGTTTTCTACGACATGTTTCAGATGGGGTCTGCCGCTAGACAAGAGACAATACAACTGGTTGACTCAACCTCCACCACCTGAGGACAGTCCCGAGGCCAGTGTGGCGAGGCTCCCCTCCGGACAACGTTCGGACAAACAGGTAGCCTACTCTACTTCATCTTATTACTCTATTTTTGTACATTGTCGTACTTTGACACCCCAATGATCCATTATTCTGATGTTTTAAACTTATTTCTTACAATTCTAACTGCTACGGTTGATATTCTATCCTACAATATTAGCATTATACTTAAGAGTCCTTAGAGGCTAGCGGCCATTCTTGGAAAATTTCAAACAGCTGCTGAAAAGTTATTTATTGTCCAAAAATATTTTTTCAATTCCACCAAAGTTATTATAATATAAATATCTAGTATACTGTGAAATTAGAAATGTTATTTGTAGTTTTTAATTGTTCTCCAAGGGAGTTCATGGAAGCTAGCGGCCATCTTGGATTTGCCCGCCATAAGACCAATTTTAATTTTGTTAATATCAAACAGCCGCTGAAGAGTTATTTACCATCTCAAAATATTTTTTCAAGTACCAGAGTGATTGTAATTTAAATATCAGTATTTTTCGCGTTTACTTGTCACAAACATACATCCATACATCCAAACTTTCTCATTTATAATATTATTAGGATTAGGATATTGTGAGATAAGAAATTTTCTTTGTAGTTTTTTAATTGTAAAACGAGTTAGAACATCTAGGCTCCAAGGACTCTTAAATCCTCCGCTACTGTAAATGTCAATTATTATTTAGTTGAAATGGTTTCAGGTGCCCTCTCCGCTTAGTCGTCCGGTTCGCAAGAACTGTTCACCTAAACTGACGGAGAAAAGACCAGCTCCGGGGCCACATAAGTCTGATTTAGGTAAGTGTTCAAACATGTTTTTCTTGTTACAAACACCTACCGTGACCAAGAGTTTTGTGATATGACATGACATCGAATATTGCTCGTCCATTTTAGCGAATTTCCCATAGGGAATAAGGTTAGGTTAGAATTAGGTTTCGTGATTAGACCTAGATCCTAGACCGACTTACTTTTTCGTATTGAGGTCCCCAGAGGCCAAAAACACCCTCCGTTCAAATTCATATATATACTTCATATAATTATATACGGAGTGTGTGTGTTCGTTAGTGTGATTACTTGAGCAAAAATGATCCGATTTGGATGAAATTTCTTACAAACATGTAAACCTACGGTTATTTGAACGAGTTTGCAAACCAGCATGATCGGACTATGGGAACAGGGGTTTATGGGGGGGTAAAATCTTAGCCACCATCAAAGCCAAATGCCGTGGGCAAGTGACTGCTACTCCTAGATCTTGCCTTACCCTACCTTCACGACTCCTACAAAGCATTAGTGGAACGTGTAAAGTTGGCTCTTAGTGCCTTTGAGGACATCAAGGCTGGGGAGGTGTGCGATGAAGTAGAGTCCGTTCTTCAAAAACTGCATAGTGCATAGCATCCTCTATACCCTCACTACTCCCCTCAACGTGAACGTCTCGGAATGGCTGAGGTTTTCCAAGATAGCCTTTCCTCCCTTGACACCTTCTATTTAATTTCATTTCAAACAATCTTTATTCTTTTAGTACATATTTACAGTACATTAAACAGTGTCGAAAAGTGATTATAACAGGTTACGTACCTTGACGTCCACAATTCCTTAGTCGGTATTCGTTGACTATAGTTTCGACTACTGTGTAGTCATTATCAAAACGGAACGTTAAAAAATTACATTCGTTGAATGTCGTCAAATCTTAAATACATTGAACACACAAACAAACATAACACGAACACGGTAGACATTTAACATAATTTGCCGGCCGGCACACGTCACTGAACTGGTCGACGACGACTCAATGTTAAATGTTATGTTAAATGTCTACCGTGTTCGTGTTATGTTTGTTTGTGTGTTCAATGTATTTAAGATTTGACGACATTCAACGAATGTAATTTTTTAACGTTCCGTTTTGATAATGACTACACAGTAGTCGAAACTATAGTCAACGAATACCGACTAAGGAATTGTGGACGTCAAGGTACGTAACCCTGTTATAATTGATTACCAATTCCGGAAGGCTTCAACATGAATGAAAAGTGATTCTTTATTATAACTCTTAAAACTGTTTTCTAACTTTTTTGTACCATTTTTTTACCATAAAAAGGAGGCTATTTATACTATTACAATAGAGATTCTCAACAAAACAAATAACAATCATAAATAAAATAAGAAAGCAGTAAAACATTCCAAACATCCAAAAGCCCTTCAAGTCCCAGAAGGTTTTGAATTAAACTCTGGGTCAAGAAATTCTTGTATATTATACAATGCTTTAGTCGTTATAAAATCTTTAAGTTTCCTTTTTAATATTCTTGGATTCGACGCTCTTGTCTTAAGGTTAATGGTAATTTGGAAAAAAATAATGCTCCAGCATAAGTAGGTTTCTTTTTAAATAGTTCCAAATTATGTATGGGTATGTCAATATTGTTCCTATTTCTAGTATTATATTCATGAGTACTTCCCAACGGTTTTACAGTATGTTCCCTTTCCATGAAGTGGATGATAGTTTGATATATATACATCCCATAGACTGTCATTATTTTAAGTGAAATAAAATATTCTTTTACATGTGTTTTTCGTGGAAGTTTCAATATACGCCTCACCACTTTTTTTTTATATTTAAGAATTGTATACATATTATTTAAGCTTGTACAACCATACAAGGAGATGCCATAAGATGTTATTGAATGTATATATGAAAAATAAACTAGTTTTAAGGTTTCAGTTTCACAGAAATACTGCAATCTGCTAAGGGCAAAGACACCTGAAGATATTTTAGCAATTAATTCTTGTACATGGGAAGAATTAATTTTCCAGTTTAGATTTTGATCTATTGTTAGACCTAAAAATTTAGTTTTGTTTGTTTTACTAATTACTTGATTTGTTCCGATATTTAGACTATCAGATGGATATTTTGCAGCCTGTGGGGTTTTAAAATTGATGAAAATTGTTTTTTCTCTATTTATTGCTAAATTATTCTGAGTGAAGTAACTAGACAAAGTGGTCAAATTATTAACTGATAGTTCTGTCTTACTAAAAGTTTTATCTGATATTTTTAAAGTGGCATCATCAGCATATAGAACTAATATACTTGTGCCAGTCGGTGTTGGTATGTCTGCCAAATAACAGTTGAAAACAAAGTTGAGAGTATTGATCCCTGTGGTATGCCATTTTTAATTTCTAAAAGTTGAGAGTTGTAATAATGTTTGAAGTTGTTAGAAAGGTTTACGATTTGGACAAACTGTTTTCTATTGGTGAAATATGATTTCATCCAATCAAAAGCTCTAGAATACCCTAACTACTACTAGGAATGCCTCCAAACTCTGGTCACACAACAACCAGTCATATTCAATCCCCCAGACGTTATTCTTGCCAACCTTCTCCTCCACGAACTTTCCGCACCCTAGGTATCACCTACCAAGAGGTTGATTGGAAATGCCGCTTCCTCAAACGCACCTCCCCAGGCCCTGATAGCATCTCAACCCTTCTCAAGAAGGCTCTCCCCGATCCTCATTCCCCTACTTACACCCCTCTACATCTAACATCTAATCTACATCTAATCTACTCCCCCAAAGCGTGGAAAACACACACAACATCCTCTTTCCTAAGCCACAAAAAGACCATTCCAATCTGTCAAACTACTGATCCATCAGTCTCACAGGGTGTCTAGTAGTCGGGAAAACTGGAAAGTCGGGAATTAGTTGTGACTCAAAATTCTAAGGGGGGAATAAACTGGTATTCACATGGTCAGGCTAGGCCTACCCCTAGAACCAGCCACACTCAAATTTCCTCCCCGGAGTGCTCAGAAGGAGCCGAGAAAAATCCAGGGGTCGATACGAAGTTGTCACAGCTTTGACTGATCAATTTATTAAAATTTAGTTGAAGGCTCAGCGCTCTAGAAGCGCTCAGGAAATCCTGCAGACGCTCAGTAGGAGCTATTTCATCCTCACCTTCATTAAAATGTTTTGGTAAATTTTGCCTAACTTTGAGAATAACTTTGTAGGACCAACGAGTATTCAATCTTAGCCAATGTGATATAAATTTATTTATTTATTTATTTATTAAACATTATCACATTACATCAATTCTCTTGACAGGTTATTTGTCACAAAGTCTAATACTATATTGCAAAAGAAATAAAGCTACAAACCTATGGGAGAAGCAATATCTTTCAAATATACTCATTTTCCAGATATTCCTCTAACGAGTAAAATGCCCTCTCCAAAAGGAATTTTTTTAAAGATAGTTTAAATTTAGAGAATGAGGCAATGTTTTTAATCCCAGCGGGTAATTTATTGTAAATTTTTGGTCCCATATACTGAGGGGATAAATGAAAGATTTTAATCAAGCCTATGTTGAACTGGTTTTATAATATTTTTGAATCTTGTGTTATGTGGATGAGATTGTTGACAGTCCATGAATGTGTCAAAATCACTTTTAACCATTAATGCCAATTTGTAAATATAAGAGCTAAAAAAGTTAAAATTTTAAAATTAATAAATAAATCTTTACAATGTGTTCTACGGGAGACTCTGGCCATTAATCTTACAGCTCTTTTTTGGAGAATAAATATTTTTTTTTGGCCTGGCTTGATGAGCCCCATACAGTAATTCCATAATTCATAATCGATGAAAAATATGCGTGATATACTACTATTTGTGTTTCTAGATTAGTAGTATCCCGAATTATTGTGAGAACAAATGTTGCTGAGCGTAGTCTTTTTGATAGGTTTTTAATGTGTTTTTGCTAATTTAGTTGTGAATCGATTTCTATTCCCAAATAATTTATTGACTGTTGTGAATGAATTGTAGTTAAGTTTGTATTTACAATTATTTCTTGGTTAAAATCTTCTTCTTTTCTTGGTTTGGTTAAATACTCGTATTAAACTTTAAACTAATTAACTGGAGGCTCTGGTAAGTAATATAGAATAGAATATAATGTGAAAACCCAATTCCTACAGAGTCGTCGGGGCCTACTTAATATAATTAAACAGAGAATGTAACATGAGATTGTTTAAAATAAATTTAATACTAATATTCGTAGCTGATTGCTCAATCGGTCAACTCCCAGACTTGATTCTTTCACCCGCCAAAGACGGGGCTTAGAACTTAGTCGAAAGGAGGTTGAAAGGTTTCTTTAAGCGAAAGGATTAATCGTAATTTCAAAACTAATTAAATAAAACGAAGCTAGACGATAGATAGCCACCGCTAGTCACTGACCTGCAGGAACTGGCGGGTGTGAGCCAAAGTCGGTGAAGCCTATCTTATTAAATTTAGTTATTTAGAACCGGGACTTGCGGAAAAGCGAAAATGTATGATAGATGAACAATGCGTTAAATAGAAATACCGTAAAACGGGGAAAAAAGCCTAACTAGTATGGTAGCTAACCTTCGTAATAAAATCGTAGTGTCGTTGTCGTATTCATAATTCGTGAAGAGGCTTCTAGCGAGCTAGTCGGCGGTCAAACAGTGAATAATCTCTTCCTTGGACATAATCATGATTTCCTCGGTCGAGGCTTAATCGCTCTGGTGGTGAGTTTAAGAACTAGCCAACAGCTGATCGGAAATTCACCTGTTGAGCCAGTCCAGGTGTCGTCTGTCGTCGGTCAACAAACACCAGTTCGAGGTTATGTCCTGTTGTTGTCCTATTTATCCCTGTTGTTGTTGTTATTTATATAATATAATATTTTATAATTATAATATTTGTAAAATCGATTGGTCCAACTTTATTTGGTGAAATTGAGTGTTACTATTAATAACTATGTCGTGTGAGTATGTATATGTACTTCACTGTGATTAAAAATAGGCCTAC